CTTTACTGATGTTAACGCCAACGAGTTTACTTTATCACTAGCTTGACTTGCAGCTGAGTGTCGCCTTTATATAGCAGTCGGCTGCTCGCAGACGAAAGCGTAGAAGCATCGAATTGTTCGCTATGGAAGGTTCTTGTTTTATCGTTTCTAGAACGTACTAGTTATCGGCTTCTCTCTTTCATCTGACATTTGCCTCGCATTTTCGCAACAATAATGGTTTAATTGAAAAGTAATTCTAAGCAATAGCAATATATTGCCAATCACTATTTGTAAACAGATTTCGGTATGAAATCAATCCAATAGACTCAAGGTTAAAAGATTTCATCAATTCATATTAAATAAATAATAAGAATATACTATAATAGGCTTAAGTGTAAAATGTAAGTGGCCTTTGGCTGTAAGAAGACAGTCGGATAAGCATGGCTGAATAAAGTGAATAAAGTTGAAGCAACGGTTTAATTTGTTATTCTTTTTTAAAAACATCTCGCGACCGGGCAAAAAAATAAGTTGCATATGTATATGTATATGTGCAATATGTATAGAATATTTAAATCATATTAGAATGAAAATATTTAACATAAAATAGCTGTTTAATATAATTTCATTTCATAGTATTTTCTAATTTATTTTATGACTTGGTTTAAATGTGATATTTATTTATTAACTTTTATGGATTATTCAACCCAAAAACTAATCATACAAACACCCATATATANTTGTGAATTACTGAGTAAATAAAGGACATTGATAAATTCTTTATAACGAAAGAAACTGCAATTTAGCAAAAAAATAAAATGCACATGTATGTGCAATATGTATATGTGCAATATGTATAAAATATTTAAATCATATTAGAATGAAAATATTTAATATAAAATAGCTATTTAATATGATTTCATTTCATAGTATTTTCCAATTTATTTTATGACTTGGTTTAAATGTGATATTTATTTATTAACTTTTATGGATTATTCAACCCAAAAACTAATCATACAAACACCCATATATACATAGTTCGTTTGTTCTTGCTTCGGCAGAACATATACTAAAAATTGGAACGATACAGAGAAGATTAGCACAGCCCCTGCGCAAGGATGACACGAAAAATCGTGAAGCGTTCCACATTTTTTTTTCGCAAGGGCGTATGCAACATTGCAAGTGAAAGGTGTATTTTTTTTTTTTGTGGCTCCCTGAAATAAAGGAAAATCCGTAATTCAATAAATGTAATGCATCAATGCATGGTTTTAACTTACATGTGAGTGATTCCTTTTCATGTTAGTGAGTGAAGAATTTACCCTGTTAAACACGTGTGTTGTTTTTTAATAAAAAACTGATTTGCGAAAACCAAAAATTGAAAATAGTAAAAACTTTTAACTGGACATTTCACACGAACGAGACAGCTAAAGTTTGCTACAAACAATATAAAAAGCTTATTGTAAACAAATACAGCTGATCTTGTCACCCAAAGTGAGAACAGTACATCAGCTGTTTGCAAGTGTGACACTTAGCGAAGACACAACCCATCAAATGATAGGGTGATAGGGTGTGTGTTGCAAAATCGGGTTGTGCTAATAATGTAATACATTCCATAACTTAAATAATATTAAATAATAATACTAATAACAACATGCAGCACCAAAAATAATACTATTAATACAGTAATAATAAAAGTTAAAAAAGAACTGAATATAATTTAATAATATTTATAATAATAAATTTAATAATATATATAGTTATTTATAATTGTTTCTCTTTTAAATAAATAAAAAAAAATAAATAAATAAAAATTTAATAAATCTGATAACAACAAAAAAATTAATGATAGTAAATAAATTGAATAATAATAAAAATAGCAACAACAATTGTAAGAGAAACCAAACAAATAAAAAAAGATCAATAATATTAGTATTAATAATTAAAACGCCATGAGCGTCCCCAGATCGCCCCCACTCGGGCGATTGAATACTAATAACCAGACGAAACATGCAGACAATTGCTCTAAAAATACGCCAAGTCCTTTTGATAAGTGCCCAAAACTGGTGCGTTCACCGACCAAACCCCAGCCATCTTCTCTGGTCACTGCATTGAGTCTGATGGGTGAAAAAATCAAGGGGCTCGTCCTGATGTTGGAAGACGGAAAGCGAAGGTCCATCAACCAACCAATGCGGGACATCATTGCGGAGCTGTCGGTCCTCTTCGAGAAAGCTCTAAGCTCTCGACTTAAAAGTGGTACAAATATGGCTTCACAAACTACCCCTCAGTTGAACAGAGTTGTAAAGAGTGTCAACTCAACCATCCTCTTCAGTAAAGAAACCCAAACGAGGGACCACCCTGAAGAGTCCATTTCGCAAAAAAGAACCAGCCTTGCGAATAAACAACGCGCGAATGTGACACCCAAGCCACAGCCGCAGGACGTAGAAAACCCGAAGCTGTGCTCAGGAAGAACGATTCCGGAACCGGTACAAGGAAGGTTTTAAAAAACACTTTCAGGAGACAAAACCAAAACAATTGCTACGGGACAAGTACATAACCTAGGTCCCTGGACAAAGGTGGTAGCGCGAAAAAGGAGTAATAAATCTGTTAAAGCAGTTAAGCCAGACGCAGTTATGTTAAAGAAAGCAGATAACTGTTCTTACGCTGAGATTTTGAAAATAATCAAGACGCAACCGCAACTCCAGCAATTTAGCGAAAGCGTAAAGCGTATAAGAAAAGCAGCTGGTGATGAGTTACTGCTGGAACTAAAGAAGCAGGATGCTCAGGCTACTCGGCAGTTTAAGCAAGCCGTAGAAAGTGCCATCGCTGATAACACCAAAGTCCGCACGGTTACTCAAGAAACCTTGCTGGAAATAAAAGATTTGGACGAGATAACTACGAAAGAAGAGGTACTTGAAGCTGTTAAAAAGGAACTTAGTGACACACAAATTGAAATTGAATCGTCGTCTATACGTCCCATGCGGCACGCGTATAGCGGTACGCAAACGTGTACTATAAGCTTGCCAACAGCGATCGCCCACAAGCTACTTGAGAAATCTAAAATCCGGATTGGATGGGTTATATGCAGAATAAGAGCTAAAGTATCTATAACAAGGTGCTATAAATATCAAGACTTCGGTCATGTCGCTAAGAAATGCCAAAGCCATGACCACAAAGCCACATCTTGTACGAACGAGCCAGCGTGTCACCTATGCGAAAAAAATGGTGGCAAATAATACCAAGCATGTCTCTGGCAGTAGAAATTGTGCTGCTTTCGAAAAGGCAAAAGCTAAACTTAGGGAAATCAGACAAGATAAAAAATGAAGTGTCTTCAACTTAACCTTAATCACTGTCAAGCGGCTCAGGACCTGCTTGCACAGACGGTGCATGAACTTAAGGTAGATGTGGCCACTGAGTGAGCCGTACAAAAAGAAAGACGACTCATGCTGGGTGAGCAATAAGACAATTAATAGTGCTATTTGGTATTGCAATGCGAATGCGAGCCCCATAAATATGATTGCAGACTCCGATGGATTTGTATGTACGGAAATTAATGGCATATTTATTTATAGCTGCTATATTCCACCAAGCTACGACCTTGAAAAATTTAATAGGATCACTGATACACTTGTCAAAGACGCCAGGAACAGAAGTCCAGTCCTAGTAGCGGGCGATTTCAACGCATGGGTTGTTGAGTGGGGTTGCAGAGCAAATAACCCAAAAGGGAAAGTACTACTGGACGCTCTTTCGGCGCTCAACGTAGTCTTACTAAACACCGGTACAACGCATACGTTTAGTAAGAATGGTGTCGGCTCTGTAATTGATGTAGCCTTTATTAGCATGTGTGTTAGTAGTCGAACCAGTTAGAGTATAAACGAATGCTACACGCAAAGTGATCACCGCGCTATAACCATCATTATTGATGACCCGCAATTCAAACACTCCGAACCAGATGGTAGAAAAGGGTGGAAGGTTAACACTTTTGACGAGAAACTGTTTGAGGAAATCTTTACTGGCACTGGCTTCTCAGGTTCAGCGGACGTAAGATCTAAAAAACTTATGAAGTTAATCACCAACGCATGCGACGCCTCTATGGTTCGAAGGAAATGCGGCAACCAGATGCTCAAGTCTGTGTACTGGTGGAATAGTAACATATCCATGATACGAGCTCAATGCAATTATGTGAGGCGGCTATGTCAACGTGCTCGTAACTCAAGTAACTTCACGAGTCATAGGGCAACATATAAATCAAGACGCAAAGAGCTAAAAAATGCTATACGCGACAGCAAGCGCAAGGCATTTTCAGACTTATGTACCAACGTAGACAACAACCCCTGGGGACTAGCTTACAAGTTGGTTCTAAAAAAAATTAAAACGCCATGCTCAACTAAAAAGCTTAAAACTTCTAAGAAGCATTGTAGATACCTTATTTCCCACCCACGAGTTGGTAGAGATAAATATAGCTCCCATACCTGCCGCTAGTATTCCAGCAGTTACATACGAAGAAATATTCAAAGCGGGCGGAAAATAATCCAGCCATAAAGCACCCGGGATAGATGGTATACCAGATATAGCTCTAAAAACAGCACTTAAATGCAACCCAAAGGTCTTTGCATCGACATTCGGGACCTGCATGCAGGAAGGAGTTTTTCCAAGCATTTGGAAGATGCAAAACCTCGTGCTTATCCCAAAATCTTCAGATAGGGTATCGCCGACGGCTTACCGTCCCTTATCAATTCTTAACAACACAGGGAAGGTTTTGGAGCACATCATTAAAAACTGCCTGGAAAGCCATATCGACAATAAATTATCACCTCTTTAATTTGGGTTTCGTAAAGGGCGCGGTACGATAGCCGCAATCAACGTAGTCAAGTCCATCGTAGAAAAAGCAATCTCCGGCAGACGTTGGTTTCACGGAGATAAACAATACTGCTTAGTTGTAACTCTCGATGTGCAAAACGCATTTAATAGCGCAAGCTGGGCTCATATATTAAATGCCCTAAAGAGCCTCGACGTACCACCATAATTGACCAACATTCTATTTAGCTACTTAAGTGATAGAGTCCTGCAATATAGTACCAGGGAAGGAGTAGTGAAGCGAAAGATCACCGCTGGGGTTCCCCAGGGGTCCGTACTGGACCCTATCTTATGGAATATCATGTACGATAAAGTTCTGCGGATAGAGCTCCCCAAAGATATGACCATAGTAGGCTACGCTGATGATATAGCAATCATCGTGTACTCAAAAACACTGCCTGCTTTAGTTCAGCTATCTGAGTTAGCCACATCAAGCATTAAAAGATGGCTTGAAGCAAAATGTCTGCAATTGGCAGATCATAAAACAGAAGCCGTTCTCATTAGCAGCCGGAAAAAAGTAGAGAAGGTTGAAATCAGAGTTGGGGATTGCATCATTGAATCAAAGTCATGCGTTAAATACCTAGGTGTGATCATTGACCATCGGCTAAACTTTCGCGATCACCTCGAATACGCGAATAACAAAGCCGCAATAGCAACCACTGCCTTATCTAGACTTATGGCAAACGTCAACGGACCGCGCCAGCAAAATAAGCAGCTTCTCGCAGGGGTAGTTAAATCAATCCTGCTCTATGCTTCTCCGATTTGGTATTCGCAATTGGAAATAGAATCATACGCCCGTGGCGTTAAGTCCACTTCCCGGCGGCGGGCATNTTTTTTTAACAATCCCGCTTCTGACACCAATTGTTACGATTTTACTAAATCAAAATCGATTAATTTCTAAATCCTTCGGGTACGAATGTACTAGTTATCGGCTTCTCTCTTTCATCTGACATTCGCCTCGCATTTTCCCAACAATATTAAAATGCTTAAATTATGTGTTTTCACTTTGGCATGAGTTGAACATCAATTTCAGATTTTTAGCAAAATTTTACTTCGCTTGAGGAAACTGTTTGTGGATGAAGAGCAGAAGGAAAGAGGGTTGTTTGTAGCAGTTGTTTTTGTTGCATTTGTGTTACTGCGCATATGAAGTTGTTCTTGTGATTGATAGCATGAATGGCTTATAGTTATGAATGAATGGGAATATTTGAGGTTATTTGCTTTTATGCACATATTTACATGAATGCATATGTATATAAATATGTGCAATATGTATAGAATATTTAAATCATATTAGAATAA